AAAATGCATTTGCAGTTTTTGGTGTTGATGTATTTCTATTTCGCAATTCTTTTCGATGTGGGCATCTTTGTTCTTGGTTTTATGTCGTTGCTTGAATGTCAGTGAAGGAGAACAGATTTTCAATTTAATAGGAGCAGAAGAAGTTACAAATGACTCTAACATCGTGTGTGGTTATGCATATCGAATTTTTTTGTGTCATTCATGATTTGTACACTGAGAATTGTATTCGCAGCAAATACAATCGTTTTACCAGTTACCATGTTTCGTGCACCACCCCCATCTGGGAGAGGTATTCTTACACAATACCATCCCGTCATTACTCACTGTGTAAAATAAAAAAAATAATGTTCAATAAAAAAATACTTGTGAATCATCTTGGGAATATTTAGCAATGGCGAAATGTGAAAGTTTCAGGAGCTATAGGCAGCATTTGTCATTTTCGGGGAAAAAAGGACCAAATTTGAACCTTTGAAAACAGAAATGTGTGGCCGAAATAAGAAAGACGTGGGGCTGACTGTTTACTAAACCTTGGCAAATAGAAGTGGAGTGTGAAAAACATGGCAATACAATGGAGGATTCAGGCAAGGACGATGTTTTTCATGGAATTGATAGGCTTATAATGTGCACGCTGCTATCACAGCATGTTTTTAGTGTTGTGAAAAAGCCCCTGTGATATTGAAAAACATTTTTGCTGCACATTGGCCTGTCATTAACAATTGCTTCAGTGTATCATTGGCAAAACAGCAGGGCTAATAGAGACACCGCACTGACTACCCGAGCACCAGGGCTTCCACAGATAGCATCGGAGTTTGACTCTGGTGTCGCAGGGGTGCTGTTTGCTAGATTCAGTACTAAATGAGAGTAAACGTATGGGACTTTAACTACACCAAAATGTTGCTCTATGCAAATGACAAGAAGTTGTTATTCATAAAGTCATAGGATTTATTATTGACTCACCAACTTCTAGAATGCCAATCAAACAGAGACATTGTGTTTTTCAGCAGTGCATGCCATTTTTGACATTGAACAGTTTTAGAAAAAGTGTATTCATATTTGGTAACTACTTTCATTGCTGTTTGGAACATCAAAATTTAGCTGTAGGTTAAAGGCTGTTGGGAAACAATGAAATATTAAGATCATTTGAGGTTTTCTTAAGGATAGAAATGATGCAAGTGTTTCAATTACTCATTTTTTTTCACTAACAATGTCATTCATTTACCTAAGTCCTCTTTGCGAGGTTACTGCAAATGAATCTAGATTTTGTTCAAATGTCTTATTTTCCTAAATTCTGAGGTTTTTAACATTGCATTCAATACTGTAAATGTATGCATTAATGACTCTCCATGTATTGTCCATTTCATTCAAGTCTCATATGTAGTGATAAACTCATGTGTGGTCATTTATCTTTCTTTTATCAATCCTTGTTATCCCATTTTGTCAGATTCACTTGTGAAGATCCGGGTTAGAACTAGTCCTCAGCAACCCATGCTTGTAAGAGGTGACTAATGGGATTGGTGGTCTGGTTCAAGGACTTGGCTGACACATGTCAACTAATCCTAATTGCACAGAAGATGCTCATAATGACAATCACTGGATTGTCTGGACCAGATTCTATTATTTACAGACCGATGCCTTATAGCTGGAATGTTGCTACGACTGGCGTTAAACAACACAAAAACAAGCCAAATTTTTCTCTTCTTCACATCTCATCCCAAGTGATGCACCCATGTGGTCATAGTTCTATCTTATATCCAACCCTGTTATCCCATTACTCAGGTTCACGTCTTCTCCACTGTGATGTACCCATGCTGTACTGTGTGTTGTTTATCCCACCTTGTTATTCCATCTTCCCTACAGGTATCCCTGTACAACATCCGTCCATGTGATTAATGTCCTGTATCCCACCCCAGCACCCTTGCATCACCTAGGGCTGATATTCTCCACCATCTGGATACAGGAGAGGTATAATTAAATGTCTATGATGGCGACATGTCAGAAGTCTTTGTGTAGAAGGGTACTCAATTGATGGCGGCTTGTATTATTACACACAAGATTAACAACACCAGACAACAAAAAAGTACTTGGTGTAGGGGTTGTATGACTACGTGACTTAGCAACACCGAGCAAGCTTTCAGCTGTTTGCAAACTTGCTGATTGGTGTTGGAGCTATATGGACAGAGCGGGGAATAAAGTGATCGTTTGGAACCATTGTCTGTCTGAAACCGTAGTCCCTCTCGCCTTACAATGAATGTCAATATTGGTGATTGGCATTATTTCCTCTCCTTTGTGCAGCATCTCTTGGATCATTGGTCAGCGGACCAGATTGCATGAACTGCGGCCCGTATCACCCAGCACATATCCTCTGTATCACACATGTGTGAGCAGCTGAGTGATAACTCTCATGTAGGGCATATCGTTGATGACCAGAGTATGACCAATACCCTGTGCTAATTGAACTACAATGGGATATTTAATCACAGACTGATTTAGTAATTAGTCCCTGATATCTGACATGTGTCGGAGCCTGATGTGAATAAGGCTGTCATTATTTTTGTCCTCTGATACAGAAATCATGTTTGTAATTGCTTTATGTGAATCATGACTGTTTGTAACAAGTTACTTCTTTTTGTGAGGAAGTCCATAACTGGTATGACTGACAGTTAAAAGAAATCGATTAAAAAACAACAACACAGCCAATACAAAATAAAGTGAAATTATTCATCACATGTACAAACTCACAATAAATAGTACAAGCACTTAAAACTCAGAATTACCAAAAAAGTGTATTTCAAATTAAAGCAAACCTCAATCTTAAGAGGATAACATGAAAAAATCACAAAAGCTCTGAATCTTGACAGTTGTTCTGAATGCTAACACGTTCATTTGAAATGCACCAGATTCTCCTGAGACATGAGATATGAGGGTGTCATGTGACAAGTCATGTGATGTGACACTGGGAATTATGAGCTATAACTCCCTATAGACATTGTGTGGTGGCTCCATCACGTGCATGTCTCTCTGTGAATTACAAGCCCTTCCTCAATCACCATCCCGGAGAAATATAGCCCAGAGACTTTAATGAGGATACACGTAACACCGTCACACCCAGAATTTATGTGCATTCAAGCAAACATTTCCTGATTTTAATTTTAAGGCAGCTTAATTTAAGAACAATGTCGTTTATCTTTGAATATCAGGTTATTCACCAGGAAGAAAGCCCCAATAATTTGTTTGTAATTGTTGTCATGCAAACAAGTATTGGAGTTCACAGGCAAAATGTAGGACAAAATGTCTTTTATGCTGATTTCCTTTGCATGAGAGAGTTTCTTTGCAATAATCGAAGTGAAACTATGTTTATGTATTGTCAATTGTGCTGGAAATATTGTTTCCATATTCCCTATCCAGAATTAAATGATGGTCAATGTGGCATGAAGCACAACTAATTCACTTTAACTTAAGTTATCTTGCCCACTTACACTTTAGCATTTTAGCCTTTGAATAGAATGATCTGAAAAATATTTCCTCCTCTTTTTATGTAAAGGATTTTCAGTGAAAAGAAAATTGTTTAAGTTCAGAATATTTCCTGCATAGCATTGTCTGCTGTTTGGGGTGTTATCGTTTTCTCTAATTGAGTAATAAATATGATTTGTTTTGGTTTGAAATTTTTTAATGCGTATAGATCAGTTAAGTGTGGCTGTATTTTTTGTACATGTTATAACTGTAAACCTGTTTTAAGTTGTGATAACTCAACATCACAATCATGAGAAACTCCTTCAAAGCTAGTTACACTACAGCCTCGCAGACAGAGATCTACATGACGTCTACCAGATCTTGAATTTCACATTCAGTCTGGAGAACCATTTACAATGTGAATATCTCCAGAGTTGAGAGCTCCCTAAGTGGAAAGTAATTACTTGTGTTGATACACAATGCTCTTGTCATTGTTGTAAGAATGGAACCTTTTTTAAAGTCTCGTCTTGCTATTGATATTCTTCTCATTTTGTTTGTCAGAAAATCCTGACTTATTGCCATTTGATTAGGGAGTTGTCCCATCAACGCTGGCAATAGCTCAGTGTGAGAATTAGGGTGGGCTGTGTTAAAAACTTGTCATTCTGTAGTAATCCTACCATTTCTTGAATTTCGTCTCATTTTGTAAATGGATGGAAAAAAAGTAGTAAAACTGTGTCTTTGTTTAGGTGAGAGATCCTTAATATGAAGCAAATATAAACAAAACAGTAGGGTGCCAGTGCATTGGCTCGGCTTTCGGCTCTGTGAGGTTACCAGTACATCCTGCTTGGGGATTTCGTGATGTATTTACTCAATGATGCTGTCTCTGATATTGAGTCTTCCTTGAAGACATGCCAGGGTGGAAGATGTTCCTTGAGCATAGGCAGATCCAGAGGGGGGTTGCAGGGGTGCGCACCCTCCCTTTTGTCCTGAATGTTTATTAAATCATAGGCGGATCCATTGGGTCTCAGGTGAAAATGAACTGGTACATCCCTCCTTTCTCAAAAAGCTGTATCCGCCCCTGTTGAGCTTGTTGTAAGAGAAGATTGAAATGGGTATTGGTTGGTCAGATTGCCTGTTTATATATGGAAGGATGAGATATACAAGGATATCACTACAAATCACTGGATTGTCTGTCCAGACTTGTTTATTTACAGACCTCTGTCATAATGCTGGAATATTGCTAGGTGAGGTGTTAAACAATAAACAACTCACAAAACCATTGTTAATACAAGCCTAAAATGTGTAGATCTTTAGTAACCCATGCTTGTCGTAATTCCCGATGGGATCGGGTGGTCAGGCTCTCTGACTTGGTTGACACGTCATCGGTTCCCATTTGCGCAGATCTATGCTCATGCTGTTGATCACTGGATTGTCTGGTCCAGATTCCATTATTTACAGACCGCCGCCATATAGCTGGAATATTACTGAGTGCAGCGTAAAACTAAACTCACTCACTAAAATGTGTGGGTCATTGATGAAACTATATTAACATTTAACATGTTAATGCTGAAAAATTAATAACAAGGTGAATGTCCTTGACTGACTTTCATTTTACGAGACTTCCACTTTGGTTGTAGTTGTACATGTGTACTGTTTTAGGGCAGCCTGGAAGTTAAAGCATTGACCTACCAGTCACAGACCCTTCCAGATCTGTGATTGGCTGAAGTTCAAGGAAGTTCTTGGAACCAGAATATACTTTCCATTGTCTTAAAGCAGAAACAAACCGCTGTTAAATATTGTGATGTTTTAGAGGCTGAACATTTGGGGCACTCTATTCTTAACTCTGTCTTCAACCTTTTGAACTGCATAAAGAATGTTAATCTTTGTAGCGTGGTCTATTTTGAGCATGTTAAATGGATCCTCATAACTTAAATTGCTCCCCTGTTGAAATGTTGATTTGCATCTGTGCTTTATCATAGTGTGTATAAAGATAGCGTAAGCTTTTAGTCTCCTGGTGTGGGAAGGGAACTATCCCCTGTACATCACAGAGTTGCGTTGGCGTAAATCATATTGGCTTATCTTGTACGCTAATAATTATGTGACACTTACGATAATCCCGTTATGAAAAACATAAACATTTTCTCTCTTTGTTCATGAAATAAAAAAATGGCCAAACCAATTTGAAATTTAAAGAAATATATTGCCGTTATACCTAGCAGTGGGTGTATGATGTGCAGCTGGCTTTACTGCGTTTAGTTTGTCGTGTCCTTCTTACAAATTGTGGATGTACGAGGGGCTATAAAAAAGTTTTGAGCCTAAACTACTTCTGATACGTGCATGATAAAAATAACTGTATGGTATTGAAGAATGGTTTATATCATTCACATAAACATAATACTGACACGCACATGTCACTAGTTTCACTAATCACATGTACCCCTATTTAAACGACAGAAATGGATAAGCTTGAGTACAGAGCAGTCATAACGATTTTGGTCCTCGAGGGCCACCCGGTGAAGCACATTGAAGAGCCCATGTCATGTGACCAGAAACTAGCTCGTATGCAAGTAATTTACATATGTTGATGCTATTTAACTGGTTTTGTTTGTGTAACCTGTGTGTATGATACAGTTAAAATGGTATATTGACTTACAGGATTGTCAAGCCTGGACTCGATTGTTTACACGGCACGGTCAGCTAGTTGAAATATTGGTGAAAGCTGTTCACAGAACAATCAGACAAACAGACAATCAGACAAATAGACAATCAGACAAACAGACAATCAGACAAACAGACAATCAGACAGACAAACAAATCTTCCCAACTGTAAGTCAGTATCTAGACTATGCTTCACCATCTGTGATTCTTCCCGGCAGCTAAGAATACATCCACAAAGAAAACTCCTGTTTAGTTCCTTCAGATCCTGACTATTGTGACCAGATCAGCTCACTGTAATTGGAAGACTTTGCCAGACATCAGATTGTGAAATCGCCACCTCTGGAGGCTAATAATTGGATATTTTATATCTTAATTCCTACTCTTCGAATCACATCTAGACAGAATTGTATGGTTTGCCTTGCGGGATAGATCCTATCAAATGCTGTATACTTTGGCTCATTCATCAGATGTTTTCTGCATGGATTAACGTTGTGTTGGATATGTCTGCTAACACTGTAGGATACATACCGGCATCATTCATTACCAGACAGTGGTAGATTCCATACTTACCGATTTGAAGTAGGAATGGACTCTCTCTTACATGCTGAATACGTATTCATAGCATTCATATTTTCAGGAACTTCATTGCGACAATATATATGGAATAAGAATTAATATGTATATCTATATTCGTATATGGAATAAGAAATTATATGTATATTTTTATTTGGGGTATTAAGAGGATAGTTATCTGCATGCACTCTGTTATTATAAAAGCTTTTGATAACACATTGCTGTGTACTTCTCAATCATTCCTGCCTTGTTCATCTTTTAAAATATTTTTACAATAATTGAAATGAATGTTTACTGTGTTTGTATATAATGTGTTGATAACTATAAATGTCTTCCATATTGAGACCTGTGAAGATCCAGGTTAGTCTATTGATCTGCAGTAACCCATGCTTGTCATAAGAGGCGACTAACGGGATCGGGTGGTCAGGCTCGCTGTCTTATTTGACACGTCATTGGTTCCCCATTGTGCAGATCCATGCTCATGCTGTTGATCACTGGCTTGTCTGGTGCAGACTCGATTATTTACAGACCGCCGCCATATAGCTGGAATATTTGCTGGATGTGGTGAAAACTAAACTCACTCACTCACTCTTCCATATTGAAATGTGTGAGTCTTCCCCCAGGCACAACCCCTTGCTCGGGATGGAGGGTACAGTAGGTCCCAGCACCCCATTGTATGGTGTAGAACTTGAGTGAGTGAGTGACTATCTTTTTATGTTGCTTTTAGCAATATTCCATCAGTTTCATAGCAGGGGACACCAGAAAAGGGCATCACACATTGTACCCATGTGGGGAATCGACCGTGACGAGTGAACGCTTTAACCACTAGGCTACCCCACTGCTCCTGTGGAACATGACTTAGGTTCGATAGGGTCAGCACATTTGCATGTTTTCATGGAGTAGTGCTTGTGCTATCAACCATTAGTCTCGTCTAGACATGTTTATTTACATGTTACTGTGACATAACTGAAATATTGCCTAGTGTGTCATAAACCAACAGGGCAGTAAGGTAGCCGAGTGGTTAAAGCGTTCGCTCATCATGCGAAGACCCGAGTTAGATTCCCCACATGGGCACAATGTGCAAACGCATTTCTGGTGTAGAACGCGATAATATTTTTGGAATATTGTTAAAAACAACATAAAACTAAACTCACTCACTCACTCAGACATAATAAACTGATGGATATTACAAACTAGAGCACTTTTGATCAGTCCTCTTTGTGTATGGATTAGTCAAAATGTGTACAACCAGCTACACTTATAACAAACTAAAATTAGTTCATTTTCAATATAGTTATTGTTTGGAGATGTTTACAACCCTTCAATCTCTTATCCCTACAGTGTCTTGGAGGTAAATATAACATAATCTCACTGAGTTCATTCACTCTTTGTCTCTAACTAAATTTCAGGATGTCTTCGTAGTGATAACAAAATCCTTGTAAATCTAGCATACGGTGTTGAGTTGCATTGTCAGAATTGTCACGGTAACTGTCTCTGTTGACAGTGTGCAAACAAGCTCGATACCCAGTAATACTTCCAAACCCACTTTAGTCCTCCTTAAAATTTAATACTCAAATGTTTTTCTGTCATAAGGAGTTGTGTTCTTTATGAATGACACTAGCCAGGCCCTGGATCAGCTGATAGCAATTAATTACAGCTCATTACAGTCTTCATCAGTAGAAGCCATGGTCCATTCTCAAGGGGATGCCTGATGTGAAGTGATGGCCGGGGTGTCTCGGATAGGTTGAGAAGAGGGATCTTCTGGTCACCATGGCACTTGGTGACCTTCCGTGACCTTCAAAGCATATTTGTAACCCCTGAAAATAAAACTATTATTTTCTTTCATTAATTTCATGGTTGAAAGTTCATTCTATTAGTTTGTTAAATCACTTGCTCTTAGAATGAGACAGTGGGAGATTTGAAATTTTGAATTGAGGAATAAATTGGTTTCTCAAATATTTCCTTTTCTTTGAAAATGTTCCATAATGAAACAATGTGAAGGAGGGAGGTTTGGAATTTTAAGGAGGGACTTTCAAATACTTTAAGTAACCTTTTACAGTTCAAAGAAAGACAAAGTGATGTTAGAAGGAAGAAATTATAGTTTCAATTTCATGTTGTTTCTCTATGAGATGTTTTAAATGAGTCATTCGTGACGGCGACCTTGACTGAAAATCTGTCAAAGTATTGTCAGTCCATGTTGTTTTTTCGCATTATTTTTTTCGAAACTAAAGATTAAGGCCTAAGTGTAAATAGGTTTGAAGAATATCACAATGACAACCAATACCATTGTCAAGATTTTTGTTTTGATTATGGTAAGTTTTGTGTTGCACTCTCTTCTAATCTACCACTGAAAGTCTTGGAGACAGATCATTTATTGTTTGGAAGGGTAGGGGAAGAAGGCCCTGGGAGACTTGTTAAAGGCTGTCTATTGGTTTTTCGCTTCTTAAAAACACACAATTATTTTTGAACGGAAGAGTCAAATTATTCTAAAAAAAATTTCACGGCACACTTTATTTTGCAGACAGCCAGCAAGTTCAGTGGACAATTGTTTATTTTAGGTGTAAACCTGAGGACAAATTATATATTTCCAGTTTCATTCTGTAACAAAGTTTGGTTTTAAAGACTCACATATGGCCAGGTCGACTCACATAGAATGTCTAATGGTTGGTCTCTTATTGCATTCTATTAAATATTTCTTAGTATGATCATTTTAGTTAGACATCATTCAGTCAGTTTACATCAACAATGAACAAAAATGGAAGTGCTGAAACCCTCAAGACATTAACAACTTGAGGTAATTTTGATGCAATTATGTTTTGAGATGGCCCCTGTAATTGTGATGTCACTACACGAGTCGCAGATGTGTTGCCTGAGGCAAAACACGTAACTGACGAGGTTTTGTGAAAATTCTGTGGTGATAATCTTTATCAGATTTCCACCCACTGGATTTTTAGAAAAATACTGAATTTAATCTTGCTAATGAAAGAAATGAGAAAAAGATATTAACACATGATGTCAGCTGTTGGGTAGCATTACCATCTTGGCCCAGATTTAGTGAACTAGTTGGTAGTAGCGGTCATACCACTGTTTCTCATTACTGGTCAGTTCTGTTAACAAATCACCAAGATTAATATTGTGTAATAATGTCTTTGTTTTATCTGAAGGATTGAAAACATGCATTGTCAATATTTGTCAGCTTTGCATTGCATTTTCAACCTCATAATTTTCAATAATAAAGATGATTTCTTGGGGGTTTTGTTTGATATTTTTATAATGTTCTAAGTTGGGTGTAAACTAACCTCAGTCTCTTTGAGCCAATTTATTTCAGAGAT